ATCATCTCATTAATGGCTCATCGTGCACTTTAGAACATACACAGCACGAGAAACTCAAAAACAATTTTTAAAAAAAATTAAAAGGCTATTATAAATGATTGTGTTTCTCATTTTACAGTGTGTGTATGACTGTTTGTTCCACGTTATTTGCTGTGGGAATGATGCCATGGTGCCTATATCTTTACACGCGTAGCTGGTATGAAATAGCTGACACATTGATCCCTTATGAGGAAACCGTCATAGCATTAGCATCTATATTGCTGCCTTGTGCGCTAGGTATGTTGATTCGATGGAAATTTGAGAAGTTCGCCAAGATTGCAGCTAAGGTAATTATTGTATATCGTTCAGTGACACAGGTATTACCCGGATTGAGTTCAATTTGTAGAACTCTTTTAAACATAAACTATTTTATGAAATATTTCATACACTCGTACAGGTTTGTTTGGTACTCTGAGAAAGTAACTTTGCCACGTGGTTCAAATCTACTCCATCCAATTTCGGTCAAATTTGAACTTGAGGCATAACCGGGATGCACGAGTCGTAGTTTGAATTCCAGGAACATTGACGAATATACTACTACAAGAGTTAATTATATAACACAGCAGATTTGCCACAGTTTTAAGAGCGCTTGGACCACAACACGGCTTACTATATGTTTTCAGTCATTATAAAATTCAAAATGGCGATTTTTGAGACTTTTGTTATTGAATTATGTGGTAAAAGTGTCTCATCATGTCTCAAAATATCGTTTGGTTACTTTTGGTAAAAAAAACATATTGAGTTATAAGGTATGTTACCATGGATATACTTTCCATCTGAGCGACTGGACACAATACTCTATCTGGCATTTTTAGTCGATTTCGTTATAATTAGTACCAGTAGTCTTTGCAACAAATCAACAACATGATTTTGTTTTGTTTTTTTCACCTTTTTTGAATTTTATAATTTCCTATTAGATTTGCAGTTTGGCAATATTTGTTGGTATGGGTGTGGCGTTTACTATCAGTTTCTATGCCTACGACGCAATGTACCGACAGGGCTGGAAGTCGTACGCCGTATCAATCATCTATCCATTGTGCGCCCTCTGCGTTGGCTATGTGTTTCCTTGGCTACTAGGACGTGACCACAAACAGTGCCGAACCATCGCCTTCGAAACTGGTGTACAAAACGGTATTCTAGCATTGACCTTGATCAACGTACAAGCTGTTAGAGGACTGGGCTCTGCAATCGCATTGATGACTATTCCTGTGTTATATACTACGTTCGGATTTGTTGAAACGCTCGCGTTGGTGGCGCTGTACTGGATAGCACGGAAGTGTAAGAAGACCTCGCTGGGTGGTGAACGACCTTGTCAATTACGAGAAAAAGATATCTGGGCCGGAAAACTGGCTTATATTAATCCTATGTTAAGTCCTCGTGGACAATACGTAGATCGGTCCATTCAGACGGAAATTAACCTGTGGGGTAATCCAGAAGATAAAATTATCACGGCACGGAAAACATAGTTAAGATTACCTAGTAGGAAAAATTCAGGACCCTGTGAGTGGAGACTTGGTCGTTTATTCATTAGTATTCCTATTACATTAAATGATATATACATAAACTTACACGATAAATTCTTAAAAGTATTATGATATAAATGTAACACATAACCCTATATATCTTCCAAATCGAATTTCTGAAATGCCGTGAATAAATGAGAACTAAAATAAATTGAATGGATAATAACAGTCGCCATATTACTAATATCTAATTAACTAGTACACACACTAAACCGAACAAATTGTCATCATTGATCTTAATTATACAGATTCTTCAATGGGATTGGCCAACCATATGACTGCTTCAAGTTAATTTGTTGTCATATTTCATAAATTGGATTTGTACAAAATATTTCCATATGTTTAGTTTTCCCAAATTATCAAAGAAAACATAAAAAAAAGCATAAAAATGTGCGACCGTTGCCCTAAAATTTTGGCGGGAAAAATTGTTACATTCAATCAAAGTGTTAAAAGAAAGTGAATACGGAATTATATTCACGTGCAACAATAATGCGATCTCTCGTCTTGCTTAAAGACATTTTCTGTTTGAACTTCAACGTGTCTGTACTGTGTGTCGATATCTTCTTTGTCGAATCCGGGATTAATACTTCCTAGGTTCAGCGACTTGTGTTCTTTCTCAATGACAGCATCTTCGGTATCACGACGTTTCTTTTTACCGGTCACGTGCATGACAACGCGGAGAACAGCGGTGAAAATAAGTGCTTCAGAAATAGTAGCAACGCCGTGCAGGGACGGTACGACCATAGTGTCGAAAGCATCAAAACCACGCGAGAACGATAGATTGATTATGGTGAGAGCGAGGGCTGTATTCTGTATGCCCGTTTCAAATGCCACTGTACGACATTTCGGATAGCTGAGACCGGCACATCCGGGCAATTGTGAAACCGAACGTAAACGCAATAATCGGGTATAGGAGTGCCACACAGTATGGTCTCCATGACGATAGAAATATACTTGGCGATATGACTGCGATGAAGACGATGGTTGCGAGTATCCCCAGCATAGATATACCACTGCATACCTAGAGTGATACAGTCAAACACAGAATGTTTAAAATTATTGTCACATTATAACACATTTTATGGGATGTAAAGGTTGCCAATAAAAATTGCCGAGGTGTAACTATAATGATCTTGACGTTTTTCTACGTGATGGTGATATGTACTGTGTGTAACCAGAACCTAATGTAAGTCGTAGATGTTTTTGAATGTTGATAAAAGGACAACAAATACCGGTCACCAAACTAGTGTTGATGTGAACAAATACCTCCACAGTGTTGACTCTGGTAGATTGAATACCCCTAGTAGACATACTCTAAATGGTTCATTTGTACATCCATTATGAGTGCCAAAATGCCCGTAACTTTGTGACAACATCAATCGTACGGACATTTTGATCTGTTGATTTTAAAGTACCCAAGATGAACAGCGTCAAATTGACTGCATAAAATATTGTCAAAATCGCAACTACTTTTTTTTCTAAATTCATGGTGGTTTCTTTGTACCTTAAGTCATTAACATATATGTGTGAAGTATATTGCTGTTTTAATTTATTTAAATCACCTGTATCCTCGTGTTACTTGTATCGTAGGGCTGTTAAATACCACCGTTTTGACAAAAACATTGTAAGATTCTTACCGAGGTAATTTTGTTCGCGATTTTAGGCCATTTCCAGTTGATGAGCATTCCGACACCAGCAGGAATCAGAATAACGACCAAGGATATGACGATGTCTGTGTAGGGTATAACGGTAGAATTAGAGGACCAGCTTCGACTGTACACCCATAACCACAGTGGCATCATCCCAATAGCCAATATAGTGGACACGGTTGTCATGCAAACGCTAAAAACAAAGTTTACGACAATACATTTGAGAATTATTTAGTTTAGTGATCATTTCTATTTAGTTTAGTGATCATTTCCATAATACAAATCGTTATATGAGTGATATTTAGTGCAATAGTCAATTTAGTAACTACCTTAGGCAGGTATCGCCTTTGCCCCATAAAGTGAACACATTGGACGCCACGCCACCCGGACAGCAAGCTATGATCAGCGTTCCAATCGCCGCCGGACCCGGTAACCCAAATGCATGCGCCAAGCCGAATCCCAATAAGGGCATTAAGCAAAACTGACACAACACCCCAACGCATATGCCGACTGGCTTTTTCAGATTCTTCCAAATCTCTTCCCAGGTCAACGTGCATCCCATTCCAATCATTACTGTGACCAGTGTAGAGTAATCATCACTTGATTGGCCATAACCAGTGCCTGATTTGGACCGATGTAAGTAGAGTTACTGCATGTCTTATTACCATAGCAACTAAAGTTATAGACTTCTGAAAATTGGGTTATTTCTACAGAGAAGTCTGGAGCTGGTACTTTCGGCGTCAATACCAGTCGTAGTGTTCTCAACCGAATGGATCCAGTTCAGCGTTGTATCTGTTGTTGCCTTGGTGGCATTTTGAACCAAGACCGTCATGTCGTACCTTATTCAAACAAAAGGCAATTAAAGTTAATTTTGTGCGAAATTAGTAGAGAAATAAAATTCTAAACGTTTCTAAGATGATGTTTGAAGTTCTCCCATGGCGGTGGGGTGTCCATAGTCAGCTTGCGTGAGTGACCAAGGGTGTAGATAGAAAGGTAATGTTGCGAATTGCACTTTATATATTTAATATATTTCGGAATCCGATGACATACAATCTAAGCTAAAGACATACAACTTATAAATGTTGATGTAATAAGGGGGGATTCTTACGATTAAAATGAATAAAAATCACCAGATTCCGAGATCAGAAGGCGTATTTCGGTATTTTTTTTAACTGGTGATTAACAGCGACCCTAGAACACCGAGGAGAGGGGGTATATGGAGCAGCCTTAGCTGACCAATGAGCGCGCACTTTGTTGATGAATACCAGAGAGCTTGCTGATGATCACCATTAT